AGAAAACTGCACATATAATACATGGGCAGAGTTGGAGCGCGGATCGTGGATCACAAATCATTTGATTTAGATCGGAACTTCGGAGCAGGTTCGCGAATCATTTGATTAAAGACAATTAAAGATTTCGGAGTGGATTCTCGAATCTTTTTGCGAATTGAATGATTCGTGATCCATGCTCCAAGTCCTGATCTGAAATGATGGTTCGCACATCATTATTGAGATGGGAACTTCGGAGCACAGATCGTGAATCATTTGATTTAGATCGGAACAGGTTCGCGAATAGGTCATACCATTGGATAAATGGTATTTTATTTATCGCGTTTTTTTCTTCGCGATGGCGCTGACGTTGATGGCTGCCTCTGTGGAGTGCTCCGCAGTTGTTTTTATGTTTTTGTTAGTTTGTCCTGTCTTTAGTTATATCCCTGCAATCAGTTTCACCAGAGACGAATTGCTGGACATTCGGACGTACACACCACCCGATATTTCACCGGTTTCGATTATTCTGATGTTTTGCTGGACATTGTAGTCGGGGGAGCTGCGGCGCTGATCAAGCGCTTCAGGACGCGCAGACGGGGGAAGAGAGCCGGTGTAGTGCCGAAATTTGCACCCTGCCAGATTATGCACCCCCTAGTATTGATAGGTTTAGGAGTAGGTGTGGGGGAGGGGTTAGGATTAGGGGTGGGGTTGCGATTAGGCAATCAGGTAGCGACTTCAACGAGGGGGTGCATAATCTGGCAGGGGTGCAGAATTCGACACAACACCGGCGCCCTCGTGAAGCTCAGGCAGCACGGATTCAGAGCACCGTTGCCTAGCATCCATCTGGCGAACCTCCGCTCTCTACCCAACAAAGTAGACCTGCATCAGGCTGGGAAGACTGAATCTGCAATAGGTAAGCAGCTTGGTGTGAAGAAATCAACTGTGGGAGCAATTATTAGAAAATGGAAGACATACAAGACCACTGATAATCTCCCTCGATCTGGGGCTCCACGCAAGATCTCACCCCGTGGGGTCAAAATGATCACAAGAACTGTGAGCAAAAATCCCAGAACCACACGGGGGCAGGGGCGTAGATTACGCGGGGGACGCGGGGGACAGTTGTGTTTACGACATGTTGAGGTTTTAATGGAGCGATGTATATAAATGCAGAATGATTTAAAATTAAAAGAGAAGATAGTCTATACATGACGTTCACGTTTCCATGGCAATCAGTCACTCTGTCACGTCATGACACGCCCTAGCTCGCATCCGCGGTCTCGCGCTGTATCCAACATTCATAGAGCTCGCGATGAGTTCAAAGCGACAAAAAACTCTTCACTC